TCACTTTTTCCTAGACAGGGTTTCTCTGTGCAGCCCCGGCTGTCCTGGAACTCACTCTGGAGACCAGGCTGGCCTCGAACTCACAGAGATTTGCCTAGGAGTCCAGAGTCGCATGCAGGAAAACCAACAATGCACAGATACATAAGGAAGCATCTATATGGCCAAGAAAACTGTCAATCAAGTAAAGAGGCAGCCAACAGAATGGAAGAAAAACTCTTCCAGCAGTGCATCTGTCAGAGTATTGGTGTCTAGAATACACAATGAACTTTAAAAGCTAAATATCAAGAAAACAAATAGCATAGTTTAAAAAATCAGCTGTGGGCATAGAAAGGTGGTTCAGAAGCTAGAAGAGAGGACCAGAGTTCAGTTTCCAGCGCAGAGAACCAGAGCTGCTCCCCAGGACCCACATCATGTGGCTCAGAGACGCCTGCAACTCAAGCTCCAGGGTGTCTGATGCCTTCTTCTGGCCTCCTTGGGCGCCTGGCACACGTGGCATACACAGAGATAAAAATTGTAACCTGCGGGCAGTGGTGGTGCACACCTTTAATCCCAGCACTCGGGAGGCAGAGGCAGGCGGATCTCTGTGAGTTCCAGACCAGCCTGGTCTACAAGAGCGAGTTCCAGGACAGCCTCCAAAGCCACAGAGAAATGCTGTCTCGAAAACAAAACAAAAAAATTGCAAACGTGTAGTCTTCCTGACAGCTGCCTGGGTCCCGAGCTGTCTCAGTCCCAAATAACACACGAAACACTACATTCATTATGAAGCTGTTGGCTGTTTGCTGATTTCTTATCGGCTAACTCTGACTTAATTATTAACCCATAACTGCTAATCTGAGTATTTCCACGTGGAGAAAGGGTCCTGATGCATACACAGAAGGACTTCATCAAAAAATAATTCTTGAAAAGTAAAGATAGGGGCTGGAGAGAAGGCTCAGTGGCTAAGCACACTGACTGCTCCTCCAAAGGACCCGGGTTCGCTTCCCAGCACCCACATAGAGACTCACAGCTGTCTGGGACTTCAGGATCCAACACCCTCACACAGACATACATATAGACAAAACACCAATGCACATAAAATAAAAGATAAATAAATTAAAAAATAAAAACACAAAAGGAATGGCTGCTTCCGTACTTTCAGTCTGAAATTTTAAAATATTTTTATTTATATTTATGTATATGAGTGGTCTGTCTTCATGCACACCAGAAGAGGGAATCAGATCCCATTACAGATGGTTGTGAGCCACCATGTGGTTGCAGGGATTTGAACTCAGGACCTCTGGAAAACAGTCAGTGCCCTTAATTACTGATCCATTTCTTCAGCCCCCTCAGTCTGAAATATAAAAGGATCGGTTTCTTTCCTTTCCTTCATGTCTCCCCTGTGTTAGCTATGTTTGTGCCAATTTGACACAAGCTAGGGTTATTTAGGAGGAGGGATTCTCAACCGAGAAAATGCCACCATCAGATTGGCCTGTAGGTAAATGTATGGTGCACTGTCTTAATTAAAGAATGAGTGAGAGCTCGCTACTGTGTGTGGTGCCACCCTTGGTCAGGAGGATTGGATGCTTAAGAAAGGCTGAGCAGGCCGTTAGGGGCAGGCCAGTGAGCAGCTCCCTCTGTGGCCTCTGCATCAGCTGCTGCCCTGACGCCCTTTGTGGTGGACTGTGACCAGGGCATGGGAGCTGAAACAGGAGCGTCCCTTCCCATGTCGCTTTTGGTCATGGTGGTGGGGTTGTTTGTTTGTTTGTTTGTTTGTTTTCCCGAGACAGGGTTTCTCTGCGGCTTTGAAGATTGTCCTGAAACTAGCTCTTGTAGTCCAGGCTGGTCTCGAACTCGCAGACATCTGCCTGCCTCTGCCTCCCGAGTGCTGGGATTAAAGGCGTGCGCCACCACCACTGGCTCAGGAAAAAAAAATTTGAATGACAGGAGTGGTGGCCCTGACTTGTGATGCCAGCATTTGGGAGGATTGCAGGAGGATCAAAGTTCATGGCCATCCTGGGCTACACAGTAAGTTTGAGGCCAGCCTGAACTACAGAGACCCTGCCCCCAAAGCAAAAACAAAAATTTGCTGAGTATTAGGACATTTAAGCAATAATCCTGAACTCTAGGCTTTAACAGCAAAAAGGTTTGTTGGTCAAGATAAGTCTGATGCCAGCTTCATGCTTTCTCCCTCTTACAGCTGTGCTCCCCAGAACAGGTGGCTTTCGTAAGGTGAGAGGAGCCAGAAATTGGAACGCACACTTAGCATAACCTTGGCTTAGAAACAATACACTTCAGTCTTGCTTACAGCCATTGGCCAGAACTAGCTACCTGGCCTGACCACAAGGAAGTGGAGCAGTTATAAGGGCACATGCAGAAACAAGAGACAGCTGTCCGGGAGATCATGTTTCAGAAGTATGACAGCGAGGAAAAGAAGAAGGCGGTAACTTGAGAGAAGTTGGGGACGGTCTTCCGGGACGGGAGGCCCTGCCGCTGATGACAGACAGAGGTTCAAAGGGCCAGTTGAGACGACTTTCTATGGTTTAAATGTGTTCCCCGAGACCCATGCTGAAACTTAATGATCCGGTGTGTTCTCGTTAAGAGGCTGAAGACGTGGCCCACTTGGCAGGGTGATCGCCTGGCCTGCAGGAAGGCGGGGGCTCGATCTTCATCAACCAGTCGTGGTACTCCAGGCCTGCAGTCCTAGCACTGCCTGGAGGCTTGAGGACTAGAGAAGTTCAAGGTCGTTCTGGGCCACTGTATTTTGAGTTCTAGGGCCGTCTACAGGAGACCCTCGGGTTGGGTCTGTTGGAGATTGCAAGCCTGGACTGTCATGAAGTCTTGGGTCTGGTCCCCAGCACCACTCATAGGCCTGGTATGGTGGGACATCCCTGCAATCCTGGCCTGAGCAGATGGAGACAGGGGGATCAGAAGTCCAAAGTGAGCCTTTGCTACATATCAAGTTCAAGGTCAGCCTATGTTACAGAAGAATATGTCTCAATAAAACAAAATTTTAAAAATAGTGTTAGGAGCATAGCTCAGTTGGTGGAGTGTTTGCCCAGGATGTAAAGCCCTGGTTTCCATTTCTAGAACCACATAAAACCAGGCATGGTGGCACAGGTGCTTTCTGTCTTTTCTTTCTTTCTTTCTTTCTTTCTTTCTTTCTTTCTTTCTTTCTTTCTTTCTTTCTTTCTGTCTGTCTGTCTGTCTGTCTCTCTTCCTTCTTCCTTCTTTGCTGTGCTTAGATGGAACCCATGACCTTGCACATGCCAGGCAAAGACTCTACTACCCTAGCTTTACATGTTTGTCTCTTTGTAGAGAGACATCAGAAAGGTAGTAGAAGTCAGAAGACAACTTTTTATTACTTTACTTTTAAATAGCTTGTTTCACATGTCAATCCCAGTTCCCTCTCCCTCCCCTCCTCCTGCACCCCCACCATCCCCCCAGCCTCCCACCCTATCGCCACTTCCTTCCACATAAGGGATATCTAGAGTCTGTCATTTCACTCAGGGCAGGGTCCAGGCACTCTCATAAGAGCCCAGGCTGAGAGAGCATCCCTCTTTGTGTTATGGACACACGATGTCTATTTGTATTCCAGGGATAAACACTGATCCACTGCTCAGGGCCCCATAGGTAGCCCAGGCCTCCTCACTGACTCTCACATTCAAGGGATCTGGATCAGTCCCATGCTGGCCTCCCAACTGTCAGTCTGGGGTCCAAGAGCTCTCCCCTGTTCAGATCAGCTGTCTCTGCTGGTTTTGGCCATTCTTTGCCAATTTGCTCATCGCTCCTCTCTCTGTGTCACTGGGTTCCATGGGTTCGGTTCAGTGTTTAACTGTGGGTGTTTGCCTCTGCTTCCATCAGTCACTGGATGAAGGTTCTAGGATGGCATTTAAGGTAGACATCAAGTTCATTATCAGGAATGGGCATTTAAGGTGGTCTCTCCACTATTGCTTTGCTTGCCAGTTGGTGTCATCCCTTTAGATCACTAGAGGTCACACTGGTGCCTGATCTGTCTTCTAACCACCGATTCCCTCTTCCCCCATCCTACCCCCCCACTCAACCTTCCTGTTCCCCCATGACCTACTCTCTCTTCCTACAGAAGACAACTTTTAGGAATTGGTTCTCACTTTCCGCCGGTGGGTCCTATGGACTGAACTTCAAAATCTCAGCAATCCTCCTGTCTCAGCCTACCAAATGCTACAATTATAGATTTGTATCAACATCCCAAACATCACCTTTGCATTCTGAGGGTCAAATCTGACTTAGTAAGTTCTCAGTGACTGTTTATTTACAAGGTAAAAGGCTATATAACCAGTCTCTGTCTCTGTCTCTGTCTCTCTCTCTCTCACTCTTTCTCTCTTAAAAAAAGAGAAGCCGGACGGTGGTGGCGCACGCCTTTAATCCCAGCACTCGGGAGGCAGAGGCAGGCGGATCTCTGTGAGTTCGAGGCCGAGCTGGACCGACAGCCTCCAAAACAATACAGAGAAACCCTGTCACATAAAACCAAAAAAAAAAAAAAGAAGAGAAAGAATATAAACTGAGTGTCATGAATTACTACTAATAATGTAACTAAGTTATTGTGTCTTGGTTAGCAATTTTTTTTGGGGGGGAGGGTTTCGAGACAGGGTTTCTCTGTGTATCTTTGGAGCCTGTCCTGGAACTCACTCTGCAGACCAGACTGACTTCGAACTCACAGAGATCTGCCTGCCTCTGCCTCCAGAGTGCTGGGAATAAAGGCATGTGCCATCAATGCCCAGCCTGGCCAGCAATTTTTAAAAACTGAATGTGAGTAGAAATGATCAGAGAACATGTGGCAGTGTGTATTGAATATATATATATATATATATATATGAATAGTACACGTTTATTGTTTCAATATATTTTTAAAGTAGATCCCAGTTAACTTTTTTAAAGATATTTTTATTTTACGTATATGGGTGTTTTACTTACATGTATGTCTATGTGCCTGATGTCCTCAGAGACCAGAAGAGGGCACCTGACCACTCTGGAACTGGAGTTGTGTGTGTTGAACCAAACCAGTGCTCCTAACTGAGCCATCTCCCCAACCCCTAGTTAACTTTTTTAAAGTTTGGAAGCTGATGTCCTAGAAAAACTCTCACTGTTGGTTAAAGAAAAATTCCACTGCTCTATGTGCCAGCCTGGAGCAAAAAAAAAAAAATCAGGAAGCCTTGTCTTAAAAGAAAAACCAACAAAAAAGACAGTGCCTGGTTCCGACTTCCACAGCCATTGCAGTACACTGAGTTCTACCACCATGCAGCCACAGTGAAAGCTGGCCAGACCCTGGGTGACTCCATCCCTTCCTAAATAAAAAGGCCAAACACTGACAGAGGCGATGCTAAGAAGCCAAGATGCCATCCCATGCCTTCTTCATACAAGCTCTCGAGTCAGGCTCAAGCAGCAGCAGTCGGACGCTTCAGTCAGCTCCTCAGAGGCTTCCAGAAAAGTGCTTGGAGAGGTGGGAAATCATGTCTGCCAAAGGAAAATGAACACTCAAGGATCCGGCAACAGAGGGCCAGACTGCTAAGTTCTGAATGTTGCCACCAAATTACGTGCCTGCTTACCCGACGTGATGGGAGGAGCTGGGAGAGGTGGACCACTGTCTGCAGAGGGAAAGGAAACTCTGGTGGATTTAAAGAAAAAAGGAACTGCCAAGATTGAAAAGACTAAGAAAAAGAGGAAAGACCAGGAGAGGGAGATGGTGCAGATGGTGGCAGCCACTCTCAGTTCTAACAGTTATTTCTTCTTTTCTACCGAGTGTATAATTAATTCCTCTGCACACAACGTTTTAAGGAAAAGAAAACTGAACTCAAAGACTTTTGTAAATAGGCATCCTCCATGGCTTCTGCTTCCGCTCCTGCCTGAGGTTCCTGCCTCGAGTTCTGCCCTAACTTGAGTTCCTTCCTTCAGTAGTGACAAATAAACTAAAATAAACAAGTTAATAAATAAAAATAACACAACAAAACCAAAACAGGTGGAGACGGGGAGGGAGCGATGGCTCAGTGGTTAAGAGCACTTGCTGAAAAGAAAAAAAAAAAAAAGCTGGGCAGTGGTGGCGCAGGCCTTTAATCCCAGTACTCTGGAGGCAGAGGCAGGCGGATCTCTGTGAGTTCGAGGCCGGGCTGGACCAATAGCCTCCAAAACAATACAGGGAAACCCTGCCAAGTAAAAAATAAATAAATAAATAAATAAATAAATAAATAAAAGAGCACTTGCTCTTCTTGCAGAAGACCCAGGTGTGGTTCTGAGCACCCACAAGCCATCTGTAACTGCAGTTCCCGGGGTCAAACATTCTTTTCTGACCTCCTTGGGCACTGCATGCATATAGTATGCCCATAGATAAGCAGGCACAAACACATTCGAACAAATAAATAATTTTTTTTTTGGTTTTTCGAGACAGGGTTTCTCTGTATGGTTTTGGAAGCTGTTCTGGAACTCACTCTTTACACCGGGCTGGCCTCGAACTCATAGAGATCTGCCTGCCTCTGCCTCCCAAATGCTGGGACTAAAGTCATGTGCCACCAACGCCCTGCTTAAATAAATATTTTTAATGAATCACTGAGTAGATGTATTTATTTGTAAATGACACATTCGTTGCAATTTCATTAATAATAAAATTTAAAAGCAAACTGGAGGTGGCGGTCCACGCGTAAGCACACCTGCAAATGTACCTGAAATGTGTATGGGGAGTGCAGATACACACATGCATGGAACATGTGTAGAAACCAAAGGACAAGTTTTGGTTTTCTCTTCCTGCTTTGAGTTCCAGGAATCAAACTCAGGAAGTGAGTCGAGCTTTTGGCAGCAAGTGTTGAGCCATCCCACAGACCTAGTATCACCTAAAACCAAAAATACTTGGTGTGAATATTCATATCAGTCTCAGATTAAGAAGGGGAGGGAAATGACATCAGCCATTACATCAGGCTCTTCCACTGTACACGAGATGCTTTTTTCTTAATCCAGGGAGGTTATAGTCTCTCTTCTTAGCAAGAGTGAAATATTTCATATTTAAAAGTAATGGCAGGGCTTGAGAGATGACCTAGTGGTTAAGAAAGTGCATGGCCCTTTCAGAGAACTGAGTTCAATTCCCAGTGCCCCCATGCATTAGCTCACACCTGCCTGTAACTCTAGACCCTGGGGAAAGCAAACCAAACCTGCCTCTACACATCACACGTATATATGTATAATTCAAAATATATCTTTTTTTTTCCTTTTTTTGGTTTTTCGAGACAGGGTTTCTGTGTATTGTTTTGGAGGCTGTCCTGGAACTCACAGAGATCTGCCTGCCTCTGCCTCTCGAGTGCTGGGATTAAAGGCGTGGGCCACCAACGCCCGGCTTCAAAATAAATCTTTTTAAATTAAATGAACTAATTATTTTAATTGCGGGCCAGAGAGACGACTCGGCAGGTAAAAGCACTTGCCACCAAGCCTGACAGCTTGTTTGATCCCCTGAATCCACATGGTGAAAAGGCAGAAGGGACACCAAATTGTCCTCTGACCTCCGAATGTGTTCTGTGGCAAAAACTAGTTCCTCCTCCAAACACACACACATAAATAAATGTAAAAAAAATGTTTTTAAGCAAAAATCAAAGTGGAACATATAAAAAAGACAGGAAACGTAGCCCAGTGGCAGAGTCTTCTAAGGTTCAATTTCCCAGTTCATCGCGGGGCAGGCTTTAAAAAACGTACAAAGCGCTATGGAAGTGCAAGTCATAGCGGAACTCCATATGACAAGAGATAGTGACTCCCTGTCACACACTCCCATAGAGTGTCACTTTCCCCGAGGTCACCGGTGAGAAGTGAGATTGGAAAGCCTCCTGGGAAGAAAAGATTCAAGACTTTCTGTGAGTCAGTGGCCTTTACTGTTTGAACTTTCGTCGTGAACATGCATTACTTAAGCGGTGGCAAAAGTAATCTAATTGTTAATTAAAACAGCAAGTGTTAAATAGGCTCTTTTTAATATAAATAGGCATATCCTAATTTCATCGCCTCCAGGGAGAAGGTCGCATTTACTAAGGACTAGGGTTATAGCTCAGGCGGGAAAGCATGATCGTAGACCGGGTTCGATCCCCAGTACAGTAACAAACGAAAAGCACCCGCAGGAGAAGAGCTACGTAGAATAAAAGAGTCAAAAAGTGTTTTGGGACCCCCCAGCCCCGCCCCCCCCCGACCCCTCAGGAAAGGCTTGGGGACTGCAGGACCCTCCCCAGGAGGCGCCGTTAGGGGGCGCTCGCGAGACGGTAGCGGGCATTCGCGCCTCTCCGTTACATGCCCCAGTAACCCCAGCGCCGGCGACCGAGAGTAACCTCGCGGTCTGGTGACGCCCCCGCACCCCCCCGCCCGGACTCTCGCCTGCTCCTGTCTCAACCAATGGGAAGGCAGCGAGCGAGCGGGCCGGACACCCGGCCGACCCACTCCTGCCCGGAGCCGTCCCGACCGAGTTGTACAGTCACCTCGCCTGGCGCTCCCCGCTGCTCCAATCGCAGCAGGGTCGCGATCGCAGGCCCCGCCCTGCCGCCCTGGCCCGTTTCCCTTCCCCACGGGAGTCACCTTTGCCTTACAAACGCTCGGCCCCGCCCTCTTCCTACCTTGCTGCGCTCGGCCCCGCCCCTGACTGACTCGACCAATAATCGGGTGGGTCTAGAGGCACTGGGCGGGGCCCGCAGCCAATGCGCACGCCGTGGGCGGGCCCCCGGCCGGAATTGGGGGTGAAGCCACCGCGTTCTGCCCACATTCGGGGCGCGGAGCTGGGGGTCCCCGGGGGGCGCCCGCACTTAAGATGGCGTCTGCAGCGGACGGGGACGTGGGAGAGGCTCTGGAGCAGATGCGGGGACTGTGGCCGGGTGTCGAGGATCTGAGCCTTAACAAGTTGGCGACGTCCCTGGGCGCGTCGGAACAGGCGCTGCGGCTCATCATCTCCATCTTCCTGGGTAAGGACCCTCCTGTCTGCCTCTGCCCCCTCGTGGAGTCCCAGGGAAATAGGCAGAATGGGGACGGACCTGCCTGTCTGCCCCGAACCACCGGGGAGGGCTTTGGGGTGCCGGTGTAGGTCTCAAGCACACCAGCCAGCTATCGAGGGGAAGACACAAGTCTTGTCTCGAGTCTGGGGGCGCCGGACCTCTTGTCATTCTCTTTAGCCCATGTTGTGCCTTTGGCCCCTCAGTCGTCTCCCACCTTGTCATATGCGGGACCGTGGCCCGGCGACCTGTTTCTGTCTCTGGCTCTCTAGAGTTCGACTCTGGCCATGAGTACTGCTTATCTGTTATTAACAGCCCCCTTCACGCGCTCTTCTTGCAGTAGGCATATGCCCTCGAACTTAATGCTTTAGCCCTACGGGCCTCCTCAGCCCCGTGTTCCACACGTACGTCTTCTCAGTCTAAGTGCATTGCCAACGTATATTGTACTCTAATCTCTTCTCTGTCCTGTTCCGAATATTTTCTTACACCACACTGTTTTTCCCCCTTAGCCTCCCACCTGTCATTTATTCTGGAATATGTTCTTATACTGGACTTGGGAAACATGACTATAACACCCTTAGAAACTCCATGCTTGTTCCAAGTGACTATTATTCATATAGTTCAAAGGGTATGTGTCTGAATTTATGTCACAGCAAGCTGTATTGTAACAACTTTATAGGCTTTCCTTAAAGCCACATTCCTGGATGTTTTTAGTACATAGAGGTAGCATGGCATGATGAAAAGGCATTGGCTTTGAAGTCAAAGGAATCTGACCTGCCCTTGTCACTGCTCACCAATGACGGGACCTCCGGCAAGCCATTTAATCTCTCTGCATCTAGTTCCTTGTGTGTGAAATGAGGACACCTGTGCCTAGCGTAGGCATACTGTAGAGTCTTGTAACAATTCGTAAGTCAAGATCAGAAATGACAGACTGGGTTCGGTAGACTTTTGAGTAGTTGGAACTTTTGGGGAAGGCTGTGCCGCTTTAACTGGAGCGAGATAAAGTGAAAGCTCGGGGAAAGATGGCTGGGGCAAGAGCAGAGGCTAAGGTCTGAACTGTCGGAAGTTCGTGATAAACTGGGTGTGGTGGCCTCTGCTCTACATCCCCGCACGCTGGTGCTGAGGCAAGAGGGTTGTGAATTTGAGTCTAGGCTAATGGCGTGAGGCCCTATTCAAAAAGAAGTCTGAGGTGAGATTGGGCTGGCGTGGAACTTTTTAAATTCCAGAAAGAAGTTTGGAATTTATCCAGGAGTCAGTAGAGACACTGACATATAATATCACCAGAGGGTGCTAACCCAATCTAGATAATGGCAGGAGCTTTAATCCATATTTAAACAACCACGGCCATTACCATTGTCATTTGCCTATTACAGATCATACCAAGATGGGCTTTCTGTCTTCTGATAAAGGCTATCCCCTTCCATGGTAGGATCCTAAGATTAGAGGTGGGTGGGATCTTAAATTGTGCAGTTTGCTAATAACAGTTTTGCTCAAACATTACCCAAATTTATCAGCATCCCACATCTCTGGCTTTATGGACCACAGCTTGGTTACTCTTTGAACCTTGCTTCTGAACTAGTTTGTTGGAGCTAAGATTGGCAATTAAGAATGCTTACACTCATTAGGTAGGAGGTCCTCTGCTGCTTTCTTAACTGTGTATTAAAAGACCACGACAAGTAGCAATCTGTTGTCAGGTAAGCCTGCTAAGTGAAACTAAGGTTGGACTTGGGACTTGGGATCCATCTTTTGTGTGCTGACATCAGACCCTGCCCGGTGCTGCTACGTACTGTCACAAAAGCAAGCTGACCAGGAAACCATCTCATGTCCTACCCCACTTCTTTCATCTTCTGTCACTATGACACATAACCAAAGGCACTGGAACATGAGCCACATTTCCAGGCCTATTCAGTCTGCCATTCCCAGGGCCTCCCTTCCCATCGCCCATATACTGTTTCCTTTGGTAATTTGTAGAGTTTCTCATTTTCATATCTACTGTGGACTGGCTTTTTTCTTTGCAGTACCAGGGCCTAACTCATGCTAGGCAAGCACTGTACCACCACACATTCCCAGCCAAATTCTATATGTGTCTATTTATGATGGTATTTCTAGGCTAAATATATACATGTAAATACAAATTTATATGGTTGGCCTGTACATGAAGAATATGTTTTGCCTGTAAACACATTTTCCTTACAGAGGTGTTTTTGTTTGGTTGCTTGATTGGTTGGTTTGTTTTTTGTTTGTTTGATTTTGGTTTTGGTTTTGGTTTTTGGAAACAGGGTTTCTTTGTGTAGCCCTAGCTGTCCTGGAACTCCAGACTGGCCTTGAACTCACAGAGGTCCTCCTGCATCTGCCTCTGGAGTGCAGGGATTAAAGGCGTACACCATCACCACCCGGCTCTTGTAGAGGTATTAACCTGGAATTCCAGCACTTGGGAGTGGAGGCAGGGGCATTAGGAGTTTGTGGTGGTCATTTTCTGCGCAGAAAGTTTGAGCCAACCTGGGCTGCATGGGACTCTGCCTCAAAGAACCGAATGAAAACAAACACAGTTGGGGCTAGACAGGTAGCTCAGAGATTAGGAGTGCTCGCTGGTCTTCTAGAGGACTCAAGTTCAGTTCCCAGCACCCACATCATGGGGCTCACAACTGCCTGTAACTCCAGCCCTATGGGATCTGGCACCTCTGGCCTCTGCCAGCACCTGCACTCACCTATATATACACAGGTACTCAGAATTAAAAGTAATAAAACTTAGTCTTAAACAGTGGTAAGGCTGGAGAGACGGACGGCTCAGCAGTGAAGAGCACTGGCTGCTCTTCCAGATGACCCAGGTTCAATTCCCAGCACCCACATGGCAGCTCACAACTGTCTGTAACTCCAGTTCCAGGGGATCCTACACTCTCACAAAGCCATAAATGCAGGCAAAATGGCAATGTATATAAGATAAAAATAAATCACTAAAATA